ATGAGGAGCTGGTCCTCTCAGGCCCATCGATTTTTTCCCACCATGTGGCGCTGGCTGAAGTTTACGCGGCCATGGGGGGGGCTGAGTCCCTGCGGTTGGCTCGGAAGCACTATGCTCAGTCCATGGAATTGCACCAAGGAGACGACAATTTGCGATCTCTTTATGGAATGTGTTCGGTGAGTATACCTTCTTGTACGCAACGTATATGCTTTATCCATGCCAGTTGCTCGTTCTCTGTCTACGGACATCAGATAGTGGTCTACCGCCAAACACTTGTTGCCGTCGTGAAAGGTTGGGCTCACACTTTGCTCTACCACACTCCAGACATGCCATGCATTGGCACGCTGTACCCATAAGAGCGCCCATGAAGACAAATCAGACGCAGCAGTGAATGGCGCGCTCTTCAAGCTTGCCGTCGACAAGTTAAAGTCTCACTATAGACGGGTCAATCCGTCTATGCTTCCTCTGGTAGAAGTTACTCTGCTGCAGCAGGCTATCGGTGATGCAAGTCTTCAAAAGTAGAGGGAAACGAAAGCGAAATGTTCTGAGCAATAACCATTTGTTTTTTTAATTAGTTTTCGCAATGTCGTCGGAGGCACAACGAGGAGAAGCATGCGTGACAAGCACTTCACGTGTTCGGGAGGTTGCCTGTGGCCCAGCCTCCGGTGGCCACGTCGAGCCTCCCCGGCACCGTTGCTTTTCTCTTGTCTTTTTCCCCCTTAATTCCGCATTAAGTCCTTTAAAATCTAATGATGTACGATGCAAAACGAGTGTTGAAGACCTTGAGATTGAAAATTCCTCTTTGATGCCATCATTTCTATAACTTATGGATTTGGTCGCATACATCGGACCATGGATACGTCCGCAGTACAACTCAAGGCGAACGTCACACGAGGAGCCTCACATCGCGATTGTTTCCTTTCCCCCGGCGCCCCATCTAAAACGAACAAACCACAGTTGCCCTTGACGTGCGCATCAGAAGGGCAGTTCCCTGGGCGGAAAGACAGCTCCTGGTCGGGAGCTTGGAAGTAGCGCCTGGCTCAGACTCCCAGCCACCCACCGTACGTGCCCTAGCCTGACTTTCACAGCGCCAGCCATCCTTGGCTCCACCTGAAGCAATATGCCGGACAGAAGAATAGGAGATACAACTCGGTGGTGTGTTTACAAATTTGGGGGCACGAGTGTGGCAAGTGCAGAATGCTATCAAACTGTGCGGGACATCATCTTGACGGCCCAAGAAAGCACGCCCAGGATGGCCGTGGTCGTGTCGGCCATGGGGGGGAAGCCGAAAGTGACGGATTTACTCATTGAGACCGTCATGCTTGCGGCCAAGGGAGACGTCGAAGGCTATGAGCAGATGCTGCACCTAGTCCGAGAGAAGCACCTTGCATGCGCAACGCAGCTCTTCTCGCCGGCGGGGGCTCAATTTTATGAGACGGAGCTGGACGAGGACATTCGAAATTTGCGAGATATTTTGCGAGCTGTCTATTTCATGCGGTACAGCGGAGAAAAAATAATAGAACTCGTCTCCGGACACGGAGAGATATGGTCCGCCCGCATGTTGACGCGGCTCTTTCGGGACGGAGGGCACGACTTCATGTTCGTGGATGCCCGGAAGGTGCTCTTTGTGGACGAATCGGGCGAGAGCGGACCTGACGTGATGTGGGAGCGGTCCAAGGGGGCGTTAGATGACTACATGGCCCAGAGTCCGGGCGCCTGTCCGGTCATCACGGGCTTCGTCGCCTCCACGGTGGAGGGCGTGGTCACGACATTGAAGCGGGACGGCAGCGACTACTCAGCCAGCATTTTCGGCCGCCTCTTGAACGCCACGGGCATCACCATCTGGACCGACGTGGACGGCGTCCTTTCCGCCGATCCTCGCCGTGTCCCGGAGGCCAAGGTCCTCGCAGACGTGTCCTACAGCGAGGCCATGGAGCTTGCTTATTTTGGCGCCAAAGTCATTCACCCGAAGACGATGACGCCCGCCGTGGCGGCCTCCATCCCCATTTTTATCCGCAACACTTTCAACCCGAGCTTCTCCGGCACCCGCATCTACGTCTCCTCCGCCTCCACCATGGACCGGGACAAGTGCGTCTGCGGCTTTTCCACGGTGGACAACATGGCGCTCCTGAACCTGGAAGGCTCGGGGATGATCGGGGTCCCCGGCATCGCCAACCGGCTCTTCGGCGCCATCCAGCAGACAGGCATCTCCGTATCACTCATCGCCCAGGCGAGCTCGGAGTACTCCATCTCCTTCGCCACCCGCCAGTGCGACGCGGACGCGGCGGCCAAGGCGGTCACGGACGAGTTCTTCCGGGAGTTCAAGTCCCACCTCATGAACAAGGTGGACATCATCCGGCCCTGCTCCATCATCGCCGCCGTAGGGGATGGCATGAGCAACACCAAGGGGGCGGCGGGGAAGTTCTTCAAAGCCCTGGGCAACGCGGGCGTTAACGTGCTGGCCATCTCGCAGGGGTCCTCGGAGAGAATCATCTCCGCCGTGGTCAAGGGCTCGGACTCGACTAAGTCCCTCCGGGCCGTCCACTCCGCCTTTTTGCTCTCCAACCAAGTCATCAGCGTCGGCCTGGTGGGCCGCGGGAAGGTGGCCAAGGCGATGGTGGAGGTGCTTCGGGCCCAAGCGGACATGCTCTACGGCCGCTTTGGCACCGAGTTCCACCTCCGGGCAGTGATGGACTCGACGGGCATGCTCTTGAGCAGCACTGGCCCCACCCTGGGTCTAGAGGGTCTAGATGCGGCCTTCAACGCATACAAGCTTCCCGCCGACTTGAAAGCTTTCACGAAGCACGTGCGGGCGGAGCACTTGCCGCACGCGATCATCATCGACTGCTCCGACGCCGAGGAGGTGGCCAGAGAGCACCCGGGCTGGCTTGAACAGAACATCCATGTGGTTACGGCCAACAAGAAAGGGCTCTGCGGGAGTATGTCGCTCTATAATGCGATCTTGCGGCAGCGGAAAGTGAAGCAGCACAACTACATGTACGAGGTCACCGTGGGGGGCGGGCTCCGGATCATCACCTCCTTGCAAGCCATGCTGATCGGCGGGGACAGCATCCTCCGCCTCGAGGGCGCCCTCTCGGCCTCCATGAACTACGTGATGGGCTTGATCTCCCCCGTGCCCCCCTGTCGGGTACCCTCCTTGGACAGCAACGGCCGCAGCAGCAGCATCAGCAGCAGCATGAGCAACAGCAGCGGCAGCGGGGGGCTTCGACGAAGCTACTCGAGCTTGCTGAACGGGCACACGCACGAGACAGCGAAGACACCCCTCAGCCTCTCAGAGGCCGTCTCGGAAGCCTCGCGGCTGGAAGTGTTCGAGCGTGACCCCCTGAACGATCTGAACGGCGTCGAGATGGCGCAGAAGCTCCTGGTGCTGGCCCGCGAGATGGGCCTGCCCTTGCGCCTGGAGGACGTGAAGATCGAGACACTCGTGCCCAAGGACACTCCTCTAGACGAGATCCACCGGTACAACGAGGAGGTGGCGGCGCGCGTGACGGCGGCGCGAATCCGGGGTTCGGTGTTGCGGTACGTTGGCTGCATCAACGAGGCGGGCGAGGCCGAGATCGGCATCCAGGAGGTTCCCTTCGAGCACCCCTTTGCCACCGTTCGCGGCGCCGGCTACTGCTTCCGCATCTTCTCCGCCTTCCACAGCCCCGACCCCATCACCATCCAGGGCACCATCGGACTCCCCAAGGCCACGGCGGCCGGCCTCTTCTCGGACTTGCTCTTCGTCGCCCAACGCCTGGGGGCCACGGACAAGGGGCACACGGTCCAGGGGGTCCGGGTCCTGAGTGACTCCCTCATCGAGGCGTAGAGCGCGCGTGGATGCAGGCGCGTGTCGCGCAGGAGGAGTGGATCCAGCAACTGATTGAACCGTACAGAGTACACATGCACAGATGCAGTAACACAAATTGATTGAAGTCGACGTCATGATGCCACTGCATCACCATCCTGCGTGCTTCCTACCACTCGATTTGATTGTTCCTTTTAAAGCCCACATCAAGGCTGTATGTGCCGTCACACCATCGCGCCATCCGGTGTGGGGTGCGCAATTCGAAATACAATTACACAAATACGAAGCTTCGATCCTCACCGACGTACTCTCTCTCTCTGGCTATTCCCTGCCACTTATCTATCCATGTCTTTGTAAACTGGATCACTTAAAGGCTCTAGCTTAGTGCCCGCGAGGTACGCAGCCAGTGCAGTTTTAGCACCTTCGTATGAGGCTTTCACGTCACCCCCCTTAGCCATGGCGTTTACCTCCTTCACGAAATCCTCAGCCTCTTTCTCCACGGTGCGGGATTTTGGATCCGGTAGCTCACCAATGCGCGTAGAGGAGCCGTACAAAGCAAGAGCCGCGGCTAAGCTGTCTTCCACGTACTGATTGAAAGCCTTGATTGTCTCGGGATTGTCCAAGGTCTCGCCTAAAGCCTGAAATTTGGCCACGCCCTTGCGCACCCGGGGCAGATATCGCTTTTTAGCGGTCTGTTTGGTGCTGTATTTGCCAGTGGAGTCGGCCAAAGCCAGTGGAGGATTTGCTGCCAGCAGGAGAGCGCCAAGCCCTCCGAGGGCTACTTGGCTGCGGATGTGGTCACGACGATCGGCAGTTCCCTTGAAAGCACACAGTGTCAGCGCCTCCTTCCTCCTGCAAAAGCTCTGCTTCACCGCAATAAACGATGGCCAAAAGGCCTGTACGGCTGTAGCCATGGCAAGTAAAAGGACGGCATGCGCTCTCATCCTCGTCTGTGCCGTGCATGCGATGAAATTAAGAGAGGATGAGAGGGTCAAGCACCTTTCTCGTGAAAACCGGCGACCCCTCCCTCGGCGAGCAGAGTTACATTATTTATAATTCAAGCTTTAAATTTAACAATGACACCATCAGATGCCCTGGCAGTCAGTCAAATTTAGCAAGGCGGCCACATTCACCGCCTAATCCCTCCTTTAACCTCCCCCACGACCTGTCTCCTTTTCCCGGTGCTTATCTCACAGGAATGGCTCGGGGCAGGAGCTGCCTACTCCTCTTCAGTGCATTGATATCGGTGTCCAATTTTCTACACTCCCATGCCAAAAAGTCAGCTACTGCCGTTATTCCCCTCTTCATTCTTCCCTCCGCTCGGGACATCTCCCCTCAAACCTTGATAGCTGCCACGAGGCTGCAGCGCCGTGGCCCGATAGATGCCCCCCCGGAGTACGGTATGCAGAGAAGACCTTTCGATGGATTACTTTATGCTTTTTTCCGGGCGAAATTGGTGCAGCAGCTGGGTGGGTCGGATACGGCAAGCAAGGATTTTGCTGGACTCATCGAATTGATTCGGAAACTGAATACACAATTCCCTGCCAGTGGCAAAGTTGGTACTCAGAAAGCGGCGCAAAATATTCTACGTTCTCTGTTCCCGTCTTGGCTCCCCGCTGCTTTCGCTGTCATGTTCAGCAAGCCTTTCCCCGCGTTCTCTGCTCGCATGAATGCTATCATAACGGGACTGACCACCTATTGGCTGATGGGGGAAAGCGAAATCATTGATGTCGATGTTGACGGCGGTAGCGTGGGTGTGGGTCAAGGCTTGCTCGTCAAACGCTGCCGCTACCTAGAGGAGGCAGGGTGTGCAAGCATCTGTGTCAACACCTGCAAGATTCCTACTCAAAATTTCTTCTGTCAGGACATGGGTCTGCCCCTGACCATGACGCCAGACTACGACGACTTCAGTTGCACCTTTGCTTTCGGGCTTACCCCGCCCCCTGTATTCGACGATGAGGCCATGCGAGTGGCGTGCTTTAGCCAGTGTCCGACGGCCAAAGCCCCGACTGGTGAGTTGTCAAATTGCCATGAAATCGAGTTATGACAAAATATATGTCTCTAAGGCTCCTGTTTTCGTAGCAGGGGTGGTTTGGGCTTCTGTGATGCTGCTTCAATAATTTGAAAAAGATGAGAGGTTATGTTTGCCTCAAAGCCCTCTTCAACAGCGAGTGTCGAGAGAGATGTCGGTCTCGATCTCAGAAGCTAGCAATTTGCCGCCGCTGACCGGATGCGCACAAACGAAGCATTCTGATGTAGCTGATACTTGCATTGATCAATTTGTGTATACAATAGTTTCCTACATACAAGAAATCAACGAACAAAAATACGATTTGTTGATAGCACCACCATTTTGCTTAGATGGACGAGGTTCTTGTTCGCACTGTTAAAAAGAAATATCGATCACGCCGCTTTGAAATCTCAACTCTCCCTATGACTTCTCATTACAGCATGACGAATCCGGCCATTGCCTGTGGAATGCAATCGCTTTCGAAGGCCTACAGGAAGAGAGAAACCGTCGGCCGGGCTACCTAGATATGGAAAGAGAAAGTTATGGGAGTTCGAGTTCAAATGAGGATCCTCGCGTGTCCGCAACCCGTTGAAAATTCAGGGGTTAAGCGACTTCATCTTCTCCGAGTACACAAAGCTTTAATTACAAATGCGCCCAAACCAAGGTTGCTAAATGTGGCATTCTAACCTCCCCCCCCCAAAGGATCGGATCGGTCCAGCCGACGACCGAGCACGGAGACCGTCTGCGACGCAGTGCTGCGTACACGGGGAAATCACTGGACTCGTAGTTCTCACGCTCGAATTCTGTTGAATCAAATTCTCATGTAGGTTTCGCCTGAGCCTCGTATACTTGCATCGAACGCGTCTTTGAGAGGCAGGCTCCGATTTTGACCCAAGCCATCGGACACCAACCCTTACCGCGTGTAATGGGCCTCTCCGTTTGTCAATCATGAACGAGCCACTACTTCAGAGGAGTAATAGTGACTCCGCGCTGCCTACTTTGGGTAGCTGGGGCATGCAGAGTATCCTTGTCAGTGGGCGTATGGGAAGATTGCAAGATTCGGACAGGTGAGGACACATGGGGATGCAAACAAAAGATTGGATGAGGGCGCGAGGCTTGTGTATGCATGTGTAACTTTCGAGATGGGATAGATTGGAGCTTTCATGTACCCGAAATGCTAATTCCGCGAGCGTAAACCTCCTATTTGGCGTTGACTACGCCATCTTTGCTAGGATCATGGCATTCACGGACGCAATTCTAGCTATTATATGCACGTCTTGTGCAGTCCCGCTCTGGTCAAATGGAACACGTAACTTCAACCCGGTGCGTTTGGTTCCTTTTGTTACCACTTTCTTCATTTTGAGTCGGCTGTGGTGAGTAGCGTCGGGGGTTGACTGGGTGTGAAGGAACCACTCTTTTTTTTTAGCTGAGCAAGTGCCGCCTAAGAGATTCGTTATGGTCTGATGAGGAGTTGCAGGTCTTCTTCACAACATCAATGCTCAGTTTTCAACGATCGAATGATGACGCGAATGTTGAGCATATCTTATTAAGTTATGATGCCTGATATGCATATATGGCCCTTTGCCTCTCTGTAAGGCCTTGATCGTCTTTGTTGTGTTCCCCGATTCCTACTGACTGAAGGGTGTGGGCATAGGCAACCAACCCGCTTTGCCGTGCTCCACGTATCGATGTCATTATGTTTTGTGTTTTTGGTGTCCATTCGCCGTAAGCTCTCTCGCTCGACTCCAATTCTTCTCTTTACTCCTGGTCCTCTTGGTACATGACTTGTGTGGTAGGGAAATTCACTGCCAAGATTTTTGCCGCTTGGAGCACGTGGATGAGAAACTGCCCCAAATTAATGTGTTATGGATCGCCTCCATGACGCTGCTTCCCTTTCACTTTGTCATCCTCTTCGTGCCCGCGACCGCCACGGGCCACCTCCTCTACCTCGGGCTCTGGGCTTGCGTTCTCCTCCTGGTCGGGGTCGCTTCCCACTGGCTCTCCTCCGCCACCCAACGCCTTTCAGCTTTACGCCTGGGCGTTCAGGAAAAGAAAGGATGGCAGCAGCGTGACCTGGCTCTGACGCTCGCCCTATTCCAGGTCGGGCTCGTCACAGCGGGGGCCTCGCTCCTCGCGCGGGTGGAGCACCTGGACATCTTGACGGACGACTACAAGAAAGCCTTTCGCCCAGGTCACATCAGGGTCGCAGCTGTCCTTTTCGTCGTGGGTGTGCTGATTTACTGGCTGTGCCTCGCGCTTCGAATCAATTTTCGGATCCTGCAGATGTGGCTGGGGCCACGCAGCGCCGTGCTTTTCAATGGGGCCGTCCCGCGGGTGCGGGTGGAGATTTTCTCGGACGGCGTCTACGCAGCTGCAGCGACAGGGCTGATGATTGAGGTGTTGAGCGGGCTTTTGCGCGCCGACGAGGGTGCCGAGGGGGGGGGCGGGGCAGCACGGAGGCTCGGTGTGGCCCAGCCTCGTCAACTACATCTATTGCTTCCACGTGGTGGCCGTGCTTCACCGCTCGCATCAAAACATTGTCGCCAAGATTTCTGTCTTCAACGAGCGGCTCCTTGCCATCAACAGCCTGGTCTGCCTCTCGGTCGCCTTCATCCCCACCCTCTCCACCATCCTAGACCCCTCCTGGGGCCACCACCCCGCCTCGCTCACCACGGGCGCGGCCTTCTTGCTCGTCGCCAGTCTCTTGCTTCTCTTCCTCCTGATGGCAGCACTGCAAGCGGCACCACTCGCCGAAGCACCGGACGGTATCAATGAAAGCGCCGAAACCCTGCTCTCGGAGATGCTGGGCCGACCAATCGCCTGCGGAACGGGGATCATACCCGGAAACATCCTGGCCTCGCCGGCGGACAGCCCACGCTCAAGTCAGGAAATCGAGAAGAAGGACGACGTGGAGGATATGCTGATGCCTAGGCGCGCGCCTCGTCTCTTTCAAGAGCCCTCTTGCCTCGCGCAAGGCCGGGGAATCGACTCAAATTTGCTGCGGCGTTTGCAAGCCATCCGGGACGAGTACGAGATCGGCAGCGCCAGCATCCTCCCCGTCATGGCTTTCTTCCTCACACTGTTGACCGCATCCCTACAATTCGCGGGAGAGACGAGCCCGTACACGCCGGCCGCCTTTCTGCTCACCTTCTTCGTCTACACCGCCGAGCACCGGATTCTGCGGCCCCGCGCGGCCCGAAAGATTCGAAAAATCCAGAGGCAACTCCAGCAACACCAGCAGGAGCAGCATGGATATCCACCGTTTCTGCCTGCGAAGGTGTCTCCGTCCTCCAAATTGGAAACCGTACGTGAAGAGTCGCTTGTCTCCTCTGTGGGAGAATCGGAGGAGGGGGCAGAGAGGCTCGTGGGAGTGATGGAAGGGGGGGAGTACAAGGAGGAGGGCGACCGACACGAATCGCGAGCAGTGTCGGGGGATCTAAATCGCGATAAATATGTCCACTTCAGAGATAGCGCACACATTTGATAGTCTCCCGGTCCCGGAACAGCTAAAGTGTACAGATAAATTGGCCATGGGACAATTGCCACCCATCTCCGTGCCTAAATCAAATTCAAAATCAAATGAAAAGTTGACCATCGCTAGAACATCGAGTCTCATGCCAGGGTGCTTTTTAAATGTTGTCTTTGTTTGGCCACCTGAAGGGATAGCTCTGCACAAGATGCCACTCTTCCCGTGCGCCCTCTATATCTGCACGGGCATTGTCCCACCGCAAGGTTCTGCTCTATTTGTTCACGTTCGTAAAGTACACTACAGTGCTGGCGATACAGGAAGGAAGGAAAGAGAGGACGGAGATGCTTGAAGGCAATATCTGCTCCGTCGCGTTTGAGCGTTCCTGAGGCCCCCGTCCTTGAAACGCCTACATGTCCAAGTCATCATCATCCACCCAGCCGGGCCCTGGCGCTCCTCCCGTGCTGCTCTTTACAGGACTGCAACCCGCCGCCGACAGCCGGCTGCTACGTGTGCCCCTGCTTGAGTGGCCGGAGTCCGCCTCTCTCTCTTCGAACTTTGCCATCTTGAGCGTGAAGTGGGGCTGGGCCTCCATGCCGAGTTCTGCGAACAGATCGTCCGCCGAGGGCAGCTCATGCCCCTCCGACACACGCCGCAATGCGATTTCTCCGGCAACAGCAGAGGAGCTCTTGCGTGGCGGGGCAGCAGACGCGGGACTCGAGCGGAAGAGGGCGTAGATACCGGTTTTCGTGGATTGGGCTGTGGGCGCCCCAACATCGTCCTTCTCACCCTCACCGCGCGGCTTGAGAAGCTCCACGTTGTCTTCCTCAGGGTCCCAGTTCCAGTCCTCGCCACCCTCGGGCCCCGCCGTGGGTATTCGAACAAAGCCAGTGCCCGAGCGGCCATCGAAACCGGCGCGACGGCTTCTCCACACCAGACAGCCCGCCACCATGAGAACCACGCCGAAGAAGACGCCGAACTGGAGGTACGACAACGCAGTCGCCAGCCACGCGGGTCGGCATGTGGACTCCTCGCGTGACATGAGACCGTCGCCCCGGCACTCTCCCTCCGAAAAGTAGCAGCCCAGTGACGACCCTACGCACTCGTTGCAGTCCCAGATGTCCAAGCACGCGTCGCGGAGGCAGGAATGCCCTGTGTAGGGGGGGAAGCACCGGCAACTTCCGTCCTTCTCGCACTTCCCGTGCCCATTGCAGGTCTCTAGATCATCACAGTCCTCCACTGCGTCCGCTACCACAGGAGGCAGGCCGACGGACTCTGCCTTTCCCGGCGCTGAGGCCTCTTCCGCGCTCTTTGTGCTCTCCTTTTCGGCTTTCCCGGGGCCGACCTGCGCAGTAGCCTCACCGAGTTCTTCGCCTGTCTTTGTCCCAGACATATTCCCTTCAGAGGAAGAGGATTCTGTTTCCTCAGGAAGCTGAGTGTCCTCCTGAGAGTCGCCTTCCGACACCTGTGACTCAAGCTCGGTGGGGGGCTCCGCGCCGGCTTTTGGAGCAGGCGCCCCATCCTTTCCATCCTGGGAAGAGTCCCGTGCTGGTGACGCTCCCTCTGCATCCGTCGTCCCCTTGCCCGACGGGACCCCGCCTTCTCCGCGGGCCTTCTCCTTCTCTCCTTTCTCCCCGGCCTCCGCGCCTGGGGCCTCGGGCACCTCGACCTGCTCACCGGCCGGAATTTCGTTCCCCCCTTTTGTCGTTGAAGCCCCCTGTGCGTGTGCATGTTCACCAACCCCGTCATCTCTCTTTATTTCCTCCTCGGC